GTGTGTGACGTGCATGTGGTGTGTCGTATGTGTATTGCATGTGTCGTATGTGTTGTGTGTGACGTGCATGTGGTGTGTCGTATGTGTATTGCATGTGTCGAATGTGTCGTGTGTGACGTGCATGTGGTGTGTCGTATGTGTATTGCATGTGTCGAATGTGTCGTGTGTGACGTGCATGTGGTGTGTCGTATGTGTATTGCATGTGTCGTATGTGTTGTGTGTGACGTGCATGTGGTGTGTCTCTTATATGTAGTTCATATGGTGTGTGTGTGTGTGTGACGTGTGTATATCTCTGTGTGCAATGTGTGGCTGTACACCCCTTGATTCCTTGCCACAGCACCGTTACTTCGACACATATATGTGAGTGAGTGAGTGGGTTTAGTTTTAGGCCGCACTCAGCAATATACCAGCTATATGGCGGCGGTCTGTAAATGATCAAGTCTGGACCAGACAATCCAGTGATCAACAGCATAAGCATCGATATGCGCAATTGGCGGCACATATGTATATATATACTTGTATAGACGTATTCTGGCCGAGCTACATACATGTATATGTTAGTGACATTTTGTGTGAGATTCATGTAGTAGCGGTATCGCCTAGCCAGTACTGCAAGCAGTGACCAGGGCTGGTATCTAGAATAGTGGGCCTCATCAGCCCGGAGATCCCAGGACTAAAATCTTCTGAGACAGTCACCTCTCGGCACCAGGCAGCGAATGGTAATGATCAGGTTGTTTTAACCCGATGGTTTGGATGTCAGTACTTAATGAATCGCAGTACATAAGAACACATTGAAGGCATGTAGTTTCCGGGTGACCCATTAAAGGCGTGTGTACATACATAGATGCCATTGTGTCCATCTGATCAACATATACACACAGACGTAACTGGCATCATGTTCTTCTGACGTATCTTAGTTTTCTTTGAAGATATACAGTGTCCCAGTATATAACTGGACTGAATTTGCACTTTTGTAAAACAATTCGTTAATTCAAATCCGATTTAAGTTAACATATAAATGTACAAACGGTTATATTGATTCCCATGATGTTAATGACAGTTTGAAGTGGACGGACAATGTGCTCTGTTCCTGTCCCTTTGACCCCAGTACACATTAAAGGGACCCGTGAAGATCCGGGTTAGACTTGGTGTTCAGTAACCCATGCTTGTCGCAAGAGGCGACTAACGGTATCGGGTGGTCGGGCTCGCTGACTTGGTTGACACATGTCATCGTATCCCAATTGCGTAGGTAGATACTCATGCTGTTGATCTGGATTGTCCGGTCAAGACTCGATTATTTACAGACCGCCGCCATATAGCTGGAATATTGCTGAGTGCGGCGCTCAACAACAAACCAACCGACGCATTAAAGGGGTCCATATCTATTTACATCCTTCACGTTACAATGGGAACAGTTTCCTCATACAGGTAATTTTCCACTCCAATTCGTCCATTCTTTTGCACGTTAACCAGCCTCGCAAAATTGTAAGGAAATACAAGGCACCCGGTTCTCTTAAATGTTGAAATATAATATTTTATAGAAACACATGTATATCTACAACTGTCTATATATCGCGGCCTCGACACTAAACGTAACTGTTTTGTAGGCATCATGTTTGATCTTTTGTCGTCAACAACATCTGCCATAATTCGTCCTTGGTTTTACGGACTTAATATGGCTGTAATACAATAACTCTGCCCCACATTGAACTACACTGAAGCAGAAATACAGAAATTGTACAGACTAAGTGAGCCGACTGTAAACCAGCTCCAGGGCGAAAAACGCTACATTAACATTAACCTTACGTTATTTCATCCCTGAGAGAAGCCCTTTGTGGGGGTACTACATATAGGTAAGCATCCTCCCGAAAATACCTTCGGGTTTTGTTATAGAGAATGGCATGTTGACAATGTTCAATTTCACCGCGGTTGGTCTGAAGTTAGCCTTGCACCAAGGCTGCACTGAATGCTGAGCCCATGGATGTATAGTAATTCTTTCCTTCGAAGAGGCAAGTCTAGATAAGCGGACAGTACATCTAACGACCCCAGTCGGTTAATTATTGTTTTGTAGAAATTATCATTTAAGCTATTAACTTTTACCTCAGAGACTTGTGCAAGTCCAGTCTGAAGGGACATGTGGCAACCTAGGACGGCATACTGTCAGATTCATAAAGGACATCACACGAAGAATTTGAGAACTGTAAGACATAAACTACCTGTATGTCGTTATCAGACCGTTCGAGGTATGAAGCTAATGTGGTTGTTTCATACCTGTTGACAGACGCAAGGCAGCTTCACCTCTGTATACCTGTGTTACGCTGGTGTGCATGGGCACGTGGAGCTGATTGAGTGAGATGAACTTTACGGCGCTCTGACCTCTATGACATTTATAGCATGATAGGAGGATACAGAATCTGCAGAAGGTCGGTGCTCAGTGACCGGCGGGGGAAAGGTCGGTGTTCGATCCCCGCCATACAAAAACACCCGTTAAAATCATAGTGTGTTAAAGTGGGGTATCCTAAGTGTGGTATCCAAGTCATAGTGTGTTTAAGTGGGGTATCCAAGTCATAGTGTGTCTAAGTGTGGTATCCAAGTCATAGTGTGTCTAAGTGTGGTATCCAAGTCATAGTGTGTCTAAGTGTGGTATCCAAGTCATAGTGTGTCTAAGTGTGGTATCCAAGTCATAGTGTGTCTAAGTGTGGTATCCAAGTCATAGTGTCCAAGTCATAGTGTGTCTAAGTGTGGTATCCAAGTCATAGTGTGTCTAGGTAGGGTATCCAAGTCATATTGTATCTAAGGAGGGTATCTAGCCACCTTGTGTCTAAAAGGGATATCCAAGTCATAGTGCATCTAAGTGTGGTTCCAAGTCATAGTGTGTCTAGGTAGGGTATCCAAGTCATATTGTGTCTAAGTGTGGTTTCCAAGTCATATTGTGTCTAAGTGTAGTATCCAAGTCATAGTGTGTCTAAGTGTGGTATCCAAGTCATAGTGTGTCTAAGTGTCTATAGGTGTAGTGTATCCAAGTCATAGTGTGTCTAAGTGTGGTATCCAAGTCATAGTGTGTCTAAGTGTGGTATCCAAGTCATAGTGTGTCTAAGTGTGGTATCCAAGTCATAGTGTGTCTAAGTGTGGTATCCAAGTCATAGTGTGTCTAAGTGTGGTATCCAAGTCATAGTGTGTCTAGGTAGGGTATCCAAGTCATATTGTGTCTAAGGAGGGTATCTAGCCACCTTGTGTCTAAAAGGGATATCCAAGTCATAGTGCATCTAAGTGTGGTTCCAAGTCATAGTGTGTCTAAGTGGGGTATCCAAGTCATAGTGTGTCTAAGTGTGGTATCCAAGTCATAGTGTGTCTAAGTGTGGTATCAAAGTCATAGTGTGTCTAGGTAAGGTATCAAAGTTATATTGTGTCTAATTATATAAGTAGGGTATCTAGCCACCTTGTGTCGAAGAGGGGTATCCAAGTCATAGTGTGTCTAAGTGTGGTATCCAAGTCATAGTGCGTCTAAGTGTGGTATCCAAGTCATAGTGTGTCTAGGTAGGGTATCCAAGTCATATTGTGTCTAATTATATAAGTAGGGTATCTAGCCACCTTGTGTCGAAGAGGGGTATCCAAGTCATAGTGTGTCTAAGTGTTGTTCCAAGTCATAGTGTGTCTTAGTGTGGTATCTAAGTCATAGTGTGTCTAAGTGTGGTATCCAAGTCATAGTGTGTCTAGGTTGGGTATCCAAGTCATTGTGTCTAATTATATAAGTAGGGTATCTAGCCACCTTGTGTAGAAGAGGGGTATCCAAGTCATAGTGCGTCTCAGTGTGGTATCCAAGTCATAGTGCGTCTAAGTGTGGTATCCAAGTCATAGTGTGTCTAAGTGTGGTATCCAAGTCATAGTGTGTCTAGGTAGGGTATCCAAGTCATATGTGTCTATTATATAAGTGTGTATCTAGGTGTAGAAGAGGGGTATCCAAGTCATAGTGTGTCTAATTATATCCAAGTCATAGTGTATCTAGGTAGGGTATCCAAGTCATATTGTGTCTAATTATATAAGGAGGGTATCTAGCCAACTTGTGTCTAAAAGGGGTATCCAAGTCATAGTGCGTCTAAGTGTGGTATCCAAGTCATAGTGTGTCTAGGTAGGGTATCCAAGTCATATTGTGTCTAAGGAGGGTATCTAGCCACCTTGTGTCTAAAAGGGATATCCAAGTCATAGTGCATCTAAGTGTGGTTCCAAGTCATAGTGTGTCTAGGTAGGGTATCCAAGTCATATTGTGTCTAAGTGTGGTTTCCAAGTCATAGTGTGTCTAGGTAGGGTATCCAAGTCATAGTGCGTCTAAGTGTGGTTCCAAGTCATAGTGTGTCTAGGTAGGGTATCCAAGTCATAGTGCGTCTAAGTGTGGTTCCAAGTATTAGTGTGTCTAGGTAGGGTATCCAAGTCATATTGTGTCTAACTAGGGTATCTAACCACCTTGTGTCGAAGAGGGGTATCCAAGTCATAGTGCGTCTAAGTGTGGTTCCAAGTCATAGTGTGATTAGGTAGGGTATCCAAGTCATATTGTGTCTAAGGAGGGTATCTAGCCACCTTGTGTCTAAGAGGGATATCCAAGTCATAGTGCGTCTAATTGGGGTTTCCAAATGATATTTTGCCTGCTGGGTATCACAATTATAGTGTGTCTAAGTGGGCTATCCTAGCTAATGTGCAGCATTGAATATCGCAACAAAACACCGGACCAGTGTAGGCTTCCCCACACACTTACACACTTCTCCACGCTCACACCTGGCTATACAAGTACACCAAACTTGTCGCAGTGTTTGACGCATGTCACCTCAACTCATACAACAATGTGTCATCTATATTTAAACTCCCATCAATCATGACGTTTAGCAAACGTTATAACGTCACGGTCATACAGACTGTACACAACTGCACTATACTGAAGTTATACCTAGAAAGACAGCCTGTACACAACTGCACTATACTGAAGTTATACCTAGAAAGACACTTACTTGATAAGGAAGTTGACTCCATTGCCCTTCAGGTCAAGACTGACCAGAGCCCAGCTGGTTCTAATGGCGTCTTTCTGACGTTCTGTCAGCCCAGTGGCTTTATCCGGCGTGTCCATGTCTCGACCTCCACCGAAGATGTACTGCACAGTGGACACGACTAGACCCATACTGAAACCCAAACAATCCATGCCGTGATTGCTGATCATTGGTCTCCAGGAACAGTGTCTGTAAACCCGTTACTCTCTCAATATTTAATCCCGGTGCTGGTGTGGTTAGGAGATGGAGCGGCATTGGTGGAGATGCTGGCAGTCTGGCATCTCGTGGAAGGCATGGATGGTACCAGCTGCTGATCTGTACTTACACGATGTTCAGTGTGTGTGTGCGTGTGTGTAATGTATGTTCCAGGTACGTTCACTGTGTGTTCAATGCGTAATCAGTGTACGTTTAATGTCTGTTCAACGATTGTTTTGGGAATGTTAAAGGAATGTCCAACGTATTTCCATTGTATGTTCAGCTATGTTCAATGTTTGTACGATGTGTAATCAGTGTATGTTTAATGTCTGTTAAACGATTGTTTTAGGAATGTTCAGCGTACTTTCAATATATTTTAGGTATGCTAAATGCATGTTTCAGTGTATGCTAAATGCATGTTTCAGTGTATGCTCAATGTATATTTCAGTGTATGTTCAATGTATGTTCAATGCATGTTTCAGTGTATTTTCAATGCATGTTCAATGTATGTTCCGCGTACGTTCTATGTGTGTCCAATATATGGTCAATGTATGTTCAGGGTTTGTTCTACGTACGTTCGCAGAATATTCGATGTGTGCTCCAGTTATCTTAAAGGAATGTTCATGTTGCACGTGTTCAGTGTACGCTAAGATATATCCATGATATATACAAGGTACGTACAGATATATCCATGATATATACAAGGTACGTACAGATATATCCATGATATATACAAGGTACGTACAGATATATCCATGATATATACAAGGTACGTACAGATATATCCATGATATATACAAGGTACGTACAGATATATCCATGATATATACAAGGTACGTACAGATATGCACATGATATATACAAGGTACGTACAGATATGCACATGATATATACAAGGTACGTACAGATATGCACATGATATATACAAGGTACGTACAGATATGCACATGATATATACAAGGTACGTACATATATGCACATGATATATACAAGGTACGTACAGATATGCACATGATATATACAAGGTACGTACAGATATGCGTATGATATATACAAGGTACGTACAGATATACAGGTATATATGCACATGATATATACATGCACATGTACGTACAGATATGCACATGATATATACAAGGTACGTACAGATATGCACATGATATATACAAGGTATACAAGGTACGTACAGATATGCACATGATATATACAAGGTGATATATACAAGGTACGTACATGATATGGTATACATGATATATACAAGGTACGTACAGATATGCATGCAAGGTACGTAATGATATGCATGATATATAAAGGTACGTACAGATATGCACATGATATATACAAAGTATCCACATGATATATACAAGGTATGTACATGGTATGACGATATTCGATACGAACGTACTAAATTGTTTTTGAGACTTGCCATCTAAATACATTATGTAAAGACATCACTATGAAAGTCGCGATGGACACGGGAATTGTATAAACAAAATGAGAGTGACAGCAATCAGCTCTACCTCACCCGTCACTGGTAACACTGGGAATTTTGTATACGAAAGTTGTATCAAAATGTCACTGGCAGGTCAATGACAATGCACGATACTGTCAAAATGTCGCTTATTTATATCCCAGAACAACAGGTTAAACCTTTGACACGACCCCCGAACAAAATGAGCCAGCGAATTACTTTTGACACCTCTAATACATCATTCAGCCGACTTCAGTGGCAACGATCATTAACAAATATCACGTTATCCCTTGATGTGTTTTCCGTCGACGGACATCAGCTGGACATGGAATTCCAGACGGGACAGCGATTGAAAAATGTAGAGGAGGAAACACTGACATACCGTCAGATATACTGACGCACAAAAGAAAGTACACACCTGCTGTTTTGACATTGTTTTACAAAAGAAAATACAACACACAACATCAACGTAAATACCAAATTGACATCATTCGTAGTGTTGTGAGTGGAATGTCATGGAATTCATGACTTTGTTGAATGACACGCACAAATAGTATAAAATATAGTCGATTGTTTGCTCGTTCTGCTGGGTTATGGGTTTGATTTCCGGAATGGTTAAATTGTGAGAAGCAAGTTGTGCTGTCGCCAGTTGGTTAGCCTGGCTCCAAGGCTGTACTGAATGCTGAGCCCATGGATGTATAGTAATTCTATCCCTGGAAGAGGCAAGTCTAGATAAGCGGACAGTACATCTAAGGACCCCGGTCTGTTGTTTATTATTTAAACTATTAAGTTTTACCGCAGATACTTGTACAAGTCTACCAGTTGGTGTATGGCTGGAGTAATGGGAAACGATGCAAACTCCACTCATTGGGTTATCCACTCATATAATTTCCACTTCTATTTTGCCTTTGTCGCTGTACGAAATATGTTTGAGCTGTTAAATGAGACCTGTTCTTCTCTGGCATTGACATTGTGTATAGCAGCATAGCAATGAAAGGGTGGTCAGTTGGGCCTTGACATATTCAGTATTAAGGTATATTCACCAACTGAAATGCCGCTTTATGCGTTATGGATGCCATGGTGATATGGTGATTGTGTTCACAATATCGACCACTAGTGTGGCTGCCCAGAACTCAAGGACAATCCTGCAGATCCACGGGCGGGATAAGGATCTAAACCAGGTTATCTTTTGATTGATCCGTGTGTTTGTCACGGGATTCATCAATGCTGGACAGCCAAGGTATTTTGTATTTGTGTTGTTCCCCTGGGGCATTACGGGGTACACGACCCCGTGACTGAGTGCGGGGAACCTTTGGGCAGCCCACGGTCCACAGTAGTCCAGAAGATACTCACCCACTGAAGCAGTGTAACCCTTGTCACCTACCACCGGTATAGGTTATATTCGACTCGCTTAGAATGCGAAACTGATTTTTGGTGCCGGGTGTAACAGTAACTGCAGCAGCAGCAGCAGCAGCAGCAGTAGCAGTAGATGTAGTGGTGGTGGTAGTAGTAGTGATGGTAGTGGTAGTGGTAGTGATGGTAGTAGTAGTGGTGGTAGTAGTAGTGATGGTAGTAGTAGTAGTAGTAGTAGTAGTAGTGATAGTGGTAGTGGTAGTGTGTAGTGGTAGTGGTAGCGGTAGTTGTAGTGGTGGTGGTAGTAGCAGTAGTGATGGTAGTAGTAGTAGTAGTAGTAGTAGTAGTAGTAGTAGTAGTAGTTTGGTTTGGTTTGGTGACCACCCATCCCGTTATTCGCCTCTTACAAGCATGCGTTACTGAAAAACAATTCTATCCCGGATCTTTACGGGTAGTAGTGGTAGTAGTAGTATAGTAGCCGCAGCAGCAGCAGCAGCAGTAGTAGTAGTAGTAGTGGTAGTAGTAGTATAGTAGCCGCAGCAGTAGTAGTATGTCATTCAGGAAGAACAAACCATGACCGAGGCACAGTTAACGTGTCTTGGTAACCAGACGCGATGGGTCGATGCTCAGAATATTGACCTATGGTTCTCTGCTCAGGGCAGCCTTTTAATTACATGAGGCGCGGATACAGCCGGGATATGAATGACTGTGATATATACCCGAATCAGGCAGTGCTTCTACTTTTAGTGTGGTGTGGTGGTTCTTCACAACACTAGCTCCGTATATACATGTATATATACGACGCTTTGACAACATTAATCTCCCTGAATTAGCTTAACAATCAACTGTCAAGGACATTCCAAAGGCCTCGTGGCCAAGCTAGAAAACCAAGAGGGAAGGAAACTAAAAATCATTAACCCCATGACGGTGTCATTTTTCTCCTCCGTTCTTATCGCAAAGTTTTCTGAACCTGATAGCACGGTAGTACGGCTGGAATGTTAAGGAATGCACCACCGCTCGAATTTAATGTTTATCCGTCGAAATGTCGACATTAGAACGCTGATATACCGCGCATTTGGGCGTGTTTAAATGGAAAACACCATGCTATAGCTTTAACATATATTTCACCCAGTCACCCATGGGGTTATATCGGGTACGTGTTTTGACAGATGGTCCATTTGTCCAAATTACCCTCCAAGTATTAAAGGCAGATTTGAGTTTGTTTAAACAAGTAAGTGTATCTGGTTTAAATGACGGGGAAAGATATGACATTATGTAATAATACGCGTGATATCTAAAACAGACGCTACATTGAATGGATCGCACAAAGGTGACGTCTAGTTCTGTCACAAGCCGTTACCCAGTCATCGTGAAGAACCATTATATCAGGGCTCAGTTGCGATGCGTGACATAATCATTAAGCCTTTTACAGGGAATTATCGCTGTGCAGAGCTAAGGCACAAAAACCTCAGACTCATGACTGTTTAGTCTGTCTCACAGTCCCTGAACGACATTATTTTCCCTACAGCCTCGCCCTCCCTGCAATGCTAAAGCCCTAAAAGAAGCAAGTCTAGATTTCCCCAGGTCTGAATCTCTAGTCTCCCTGAGTGTTTTTTTTCAATATAAATTGGTGTATTAATTACAATCAAATTTATATATATTCAGAGACTAAGCGTTAGTCTGTCCTATAATCAGTGAATACGTGTAATGCTTTCAGGCGCATAAACAGGTCCAATCAGAGTATGCAAAAACATAGCCCGTAGACAAAACCCTTCCCATGTTGAATGCAATTGAGGATGAAACATCTATGTTGATCACCAATATGGCCTTGAGTCGGGTTCCACTCACAAGTGTGAGGGCCTGTAGCAGATGGCCGATCTTCTATGGGACGGCTACATTCACTGTTGGTTGACGAACATCAGCATTCGATACGTTGCACGCCATTACACAAAGACCTACTCAGGAAGGACGGGTAACAACGATTGCCAAAGAACACCAGATAGATCTTTTTAAAGATTGATAGAGTGTTTTATTACCCATATGGTGAAACATAACCAGTGTCATATATATCAAATGTGCACATGTGCACATATCACTCTTACCTAGCAACCATTGTTTCTGTATTTCTGTGACGTTATTAAACAATTGAACGTGACGTCATTGAAGAGGGCCGTCACACTTGCTTACCGTGTTAACTGCACAAACGTACATAAATAAAATGGATGATAAAGAAAATATTACAGTCGAGCAAGTGTGCCATATGACTTATATGAAACTCGTGCAAAATTACGCTCGCACGGGCAATACAAAATTTCACACTCGTTTCGTATAAGTCGTATAACACACTTTCTCGTGTAATAATCTCTATGTATAAATTTAGTATTTAGGTAATTTTGCCAATAAATGAGAAGGACTGCATATTTAAAAATGGGAATCGTCCATGTCGGACAAGGTTAAACACTGGAGGAGAGTGATTTGATTACAGTCACATTGGAACGGCGATGAAGAACTATTTCAAGAATGACGGTAGTTAAATAGGTTGTTTCCTGCACAGCAGGGGTGAACATTTCTTCTAGGGGTGAAAGCAACAGAGGTAAGGTGAGGACAATAAAGTTCAAAATCAGTGCGAATCTGGGAATCGAATCTACGATTTGCAGATACTTGAACTCATAAGGGTCACAACTCTGCATATCATTAGGGGGCGTGGTGGGCGAGCTGGCTAAGGCGCCAGGCTAATGATCCAGCGGTGGTGCCGGGATCGAGCCCACCTGTGACCGGGTGTAAAACCCTTGGAGTCAACTTGGAGTGTGCAGACTCTTTCAGTGTTGTCACAACCCCTAGTGTACAGTACACAACCCTGTGCACTTAACAGAACCCACGAATCCGTTGGTATATGGCCAGATAGTGGCCATATGAATACGTGCAAACACCTAGTTGCGGGTACAGCAACGTGCAGTAAACTTAGACAAAGTACTGTGACTATGTGTCCCAGTCCACCCAGCTGTGAATGGGTACCTTGTAAGGATGGGAAAGCCGCAATAACTCGGTGTGCCTTGTGGCAGCAAGAGTTGTATGATCCCCAGGCAGTTGAGATTGATGCTCCGTTGAGATTGACATCCAATGATCGATGGAGAAAATACCAGCACCTTGAGCATGCACTAGTGCATTGATATGTGCGTTATATAAATATCGAATAATAATAATAATAATATCAAACAGCTGGGCCTTCTATGAGAGACGCACACAGAAACATGAAAACTATAAGAGAGATACGTCCAGATATGCGTGAGAGAGGGTAGGACAGAGAGAAAGAGCAGCTTGACAAAGACGTTTTAGGACAGAAGGGAGGGAGGTAAATAGAGAAGAGACCCCCTTTACTCCAGCCCCACCCCAACACACCCAAGTCGAAGACTTTCGTTTGACATGCATTACCAGTTGTCTGCCCAATTACCAATATGTTTGCTGTTACAATATGAGTTAAAAACTATTGATTAAACTATCTTATTCATTATGTCTACCTACCACAACAAACAAACAAATGCAAGGTGCAAAACAAAACGATATATCGTGGTAATCATAGTGATTATATATGTATACAATAACTGTAATATATATTTTATGGACACGAAAGCTGCCCACTTTTTCATTTTAAACAATCACATGACACTAATCTAATACTACAAGACAGTACTGTAATACACATAGTCTTGTAACAAACATGTTAAGCGTAGAGTTCCATAGAAATGTTATTGTTAGCACCTTTCACTGATTTATATTAACGACAGCAATAATAGACATGGTCCACATCCTACCTGACGGTTGAGTGTAATCCGGGTTTATCCAGGGAAAGAGTTCAACACAACGCTCCTACACGCGATGCACGGCCCAAATGAACCTCCTCCACAGTTTCAACAGGTAGGGTACACGATCTAGGAGATAACCCGCTCTGAAGTAACATTTGAAGAATTCAGCGGCAGTCCTCGCTTCAGTGAGGTAGCCAGGTGACCCTTCGCTACTGGTTGACAGCTCTGTCGGCGCGGGAGCCTGTAGGGGGAGCTTATACGTTCATGGTGGATGATCTGACGTGGATACACAAAAGGAGAGCTGCTCGTTCAGACGATAGACTCCGTGAACAAAGTTTCTAATTGTCGTTGACAAAGCCTCTATTGACATTCGCGGTAACTGCCCAGCGTTGCGTCAGGTGCACTGGGATTATACTTCAGTTTAAGTGTAACTGCTGCTGAATAGGCGACATTGAGCAACTGATAACCATGTGTAGCGCGTGTCAGTTGCAGTGACTGGTCGCATGTGTAATGATGAAATGATGATGCTGAATGTAGAGTGTATCTCTAACTTGGGCTGTGTTGGTATGAACAGTGTTGTATGGGATAGAGGACACACTGCTCTCTCTCTCTCTCTCTCTCTCTCTCTCTCTTTCTAGAGTGGGGGTTTGGGGTAGGTTATCGGGGTGAACGGGAATGGGTAATTATGTATAATGTATGGAGGTTTCAGCTGGGATACACTTTAAATGTAAACTAAGGTTGCTATGAGGTTATTTAAGAAACAGGATATCACGTTTCTGACATTAGAAATAAAGTATGATGACACAAGAACGGTGTGTAGCGTAACGCTTATAGTCTCTGAGTACATATTATTTTGATAGAAAAAAGCTCCAGTGAGAAGGGAAACCGAGGAATTCTAGTCTTGCTGCATTTATGGATAGTAGTTGTGTTACGCCGCACTCAGCAATATTCCAGCTATATGGCGATGGTCTGTCAAATCGAGTCTGGACCAGTGATCCAGTGATCAACAGCATGAGCATCGATCTACACGACTGGGATACGATGACATGTGTCAACCAAGTCAGCGAGCCTGACCACCCGATCCCGTTAGTCGCCTCTTACGACAAGCAAGGGTTACTGAAGATCAATATTCTAACCCGCATCTTCACGGGTTCATTTATGGCCTAATCATTGCAGAAAGGGCAGTGGGGAAGGGGAAATAATGCGGGCCAGGGACTGTAAGACTCTAAAAGGTGTGTTACCATCTCTAGCTTATTACCTTCAGCAAAAGGTATGCCGCTTTTCATACGACATATGTTATTTTTAGGTAATGTACACCGCCTTCCGCGTAGCGTATATTATTATTTCTAACGTAAAGTGTAACGTTTGCACCCAAGTTGTGCTATGTCAACATAAACTATAATATTTAAGCGTACAATATTGAAAATGAGGTACAATGTTTACCATTGAGAATGTTCTGTCTCAAACGTCAAGTCTTTAAGTTAAGGTGTGTAGTTTTTCAGGTGAGACATATTTAACGTTATGTAAAGTATGCTGTTGTTACCTGGTGACTTTACCGACAAGATAACATATAATACTTCGAACAAGTACAGCGTCTACCAGATACTATAAGCAGCTTGAGGTGCTGTGTTTAAATTTATGGCCGGCTTTAGGAATTGACGTCTACGGCAAGGAATGAAAGGATTTAGTCTAACTGTGCCTATCACAGTACAGTTGTGGCATATTGACATTTGGTGCCTGGGGCTTGACAGCTATACCTCAATCTGGCCATCGACCATTTTACTGTGTTGTAGGGGCGGTGAGGTAGCCCGGGGGATAAAGCGTTCGCTCGTCACGCCGAAGGCCCGGGTTCGATTCCCCACATGGGTACAATGTGTGAAGCCCATTTCTGGTGTCCCCTGCCCTGTCATTGCTGGAATATTGCTACAGGCGGCGTAATCCCGACTGACTGACTCACTCACTCGCTCACTCACTCACTCACTCACTCACTCACTCACTCACTCACTCACTCACTCACTATTGGGTTGTACGAATTAAAGTGGAAGAACAGAACTTCACGGGGTAACAAGGTACTTATCCTTGGTCAATGTGGAATATATAAACTAGACTTGTTGACACAGTCATGTGGAACGACCACACTGTGATAAGAATGTTTGGTAGTTAGGCATATTCTAATAGAAACTTATACGTGTGTAGGAAATAGATAAATGACTTGCTTAAGCTTAGTTGATACTAATGACATTTACCTCAGATAACGTTCTGTTCTGGAAAGATCTTCACGTGTATGTAGGGCGCCTATCAGTCTCTTGTACACACAATGTATGAAGCCCATTTCTGGAGTCCCGCGCCCTGCTATTGCCGGAATATCGCTACAAGCGGCGTAATCCCAGCTCAGTCACTCACTATTGGGTTGTACGAATCAAAGTGGAAGAACAGAACTTCCACGTCTATGACACATAATGTTCGCAGACCATTCCATAAAGGGGCGGTGGGGTAGCCTAGTGGTTAAGCATTGGCTCGTCACGCCGAAGACCCAGGTTCGAATCCCTACATGGGTACAATGTGTGAAGCCCATTTCTGATGTCCCCCGCCGTGATGTTGCTGGAATATTGCTAAAAGCGGCGTACAACCATACTCAGTCAGTCAGTCAGTCAGCCATTCCATAAAACAATAAACGTCCAACCGTCACCAGCCTCTTGTTATCTGTCTCAGTATGGTATTGAGCCTAGCAATAACCTTGAAACTCTGAGTTCACATTTTGTTATCGTAAGGGATATTGTTGATCACGTTAGGTATGTCATCTTAATAAAGGGTATGCTGTTTTTTATAACGAAGGGTATTCTGTAGTCAATAACAGGTTGTGATAAGTCGGATATGACACTCGACAACTGTCCCGATGGGAGATATTCCTTTGGTCGGTACGGTACTGCAAGGAGCGATTCAATGCCTGTGGGTATTCCAACAATGTCAATGGTGTCAAAACCGGTGGTGGTGTCTCAAATGCTTGGCATCACATGAGAAAGGTATCAAATGGCTGACATAACCCAGGATGCTGCACCAGTGCATCTCAGAGAGCGAACGAGTCGTAAACAAGTCCCTTGTCGCATCACAGAATAGAAGAGTCATGAACATGATACGCCTTTGTTGGGCTACTAAAACGCTTTCCTTAATTGAAAAACATACGACTTATGTGGGCCAGCCTTATTGATATTCTACGGGTGTCTTAGAAGTTTACGCAAATAGATACAGGTTTTGTTAAAATCTGATGACTACTACCCATCACAAATCCATCTGCACCCCCATCCAAATATTAATTCGTCGGTCTTATTCGCGTCATTCATATTCACTTGCACTGAATATAACGGACAGAAACGATGTTCAGCATGGCTTGACGTGAATAGAAATACCCCATGGCAGACAGAGCCTTCTCATGTGTCATCTGGATTGAAACGCTGTTGTCGATTCTTGTACAACCTAGTGGGGTAACAAGGTACTTATCCTTGGTCAATGTGGAATATATAAACTAGACTTGTTGACACAGTCATGTGGAACGACTACACTGTGATAAGAATGTTTGGTAGTTAGGCATATTCTAATAGAAACTTATACGTGTGTAGGAAATAGATAAATGACTTGCTTAAGCTTAGTTGATACTAAAGACATTTACCTCAGATAACGTTCTGTTCTGGACAGGACTTCAAGGGACGAGTCACCACCAAACAACTTAAGCCATGATACAAAGTTAGATTTCTTTAGTTCGATCTCTAAATGAAGAACAAAGGCAAAACTACTGTTTCTTTAACTCAAGGAAGGTTATATCCAGACATTGTTAAAAATGAAACACAGAAACACCCTATCGGTTCCTCTGAACTCCGTGGAGATTGAAACATGTCTGGATTCGTATTTATAGATCCCAATGCTGGGTAATACAGAGTTGTAATGACGAGGTTTCGTTGAAATCAAAAGCAAATCAGGGCATCGAACTCGAACCCACGAGCTGACACATTATCCACTCGCCTATTGGCTAATGGAGATGCACTGAATTAAGTTTACACTAGGGTATGTCATTTTGATACGATCGGGATACTCTTGATACTATGGTGACACGTGGGCACATGGTCAATGTATGTAGTGGTCAAACAGCAACATGTCCATATAATGACATTCCTGTCTAAAATATATCATTTATAAACGTATGGACAATGTGATCAAAGGAAATGGGTGACAAATTTTAAAGGAAAGCTGAGAAACGATCTTCTAAACGTCTTTCACTTCTGAGGGGCAGTGGGGTAGTGGTTAAAGCGTTCGCTCTTCACGCCGAAGACCCGGGTTTGATTCCCCACATGGGTAGAATGTGTGAAACCCATTTCTGGTGTCCTCCGCCGTGATATTGCTGGAATATTGCTAAAAGCGGCGTAAAACCTAACTCACTCACTCACTGGACACGGTATCGTCCGGATTTCACTGTATACATAAGGAAACGAGAGAGAGCGAGCATAAACCTACATATAACATTATCACAACACATTCGGGTGGGTGGGTGTTTTACAGGTCTGTCCATATTGCTGCAATATCACATCCTGGGACATGGGAGTCGAACTAGAGACGTGAGCCTTCGAGCGAACACACTAGCCACTGGTCGCCTGTACATTATGACAGACCATAAACACCATCCAACCGGTTTCTATATCTGCGGAATGTTTTGCAGGCACAGTGGGAGTTATGGCATTGCAACAATGTTATGGAAATTCAGGGTATCGATCCATAGAATCAATTGTTTCCTTGCCAATATGGACACTGATAGAGAAACAATGAAAGCGAAAAATATGAAAGGGCTTTTTCGGCCTTAAGCCTCTTTAAAACAAGCAGTAGTGCCCTCTACCCGCAGGGCGAGTTATGGCGATAGAGCTTTCGCCAAAGCAGGTCCTCTGTTATGGAACCAACTACCTGAAAACTTGAAAAACTTGTCAGACATCATTCCATTCAAAAAAGAACTAAAACAGTTCTTTTCCACAGAGCATTCGACCAAGCGCCTTAGAGCAAATCTTGGATTCAGGCGCTATACAAAATTTAACATTATCATTATTATTATTAACTTCTCATTTTAGTACTTTTCACGAAAATACAATCACTAATTAAGTGACTGAAACATTTGTATTACTGTGCCACGACCCTGCGATATCTTATATCTGTCTTGTTAGCTGATGAAGGCAGTGCAAAGGTCAGTAGGTCAAGCCAAAATACCCTGCCAACGGTTAGAGTTGACCTCTGGAGATAATGGGCCTTTAATAATCTGTGATGTTCATTACGAAGGGTCTAAATACATGGAGTAAATCCCCCGTCAAGCTAGTCCGTTCATCATAAATGTCGGATATAGGGTCATACGATTTTACAGTAGTCTGTGAAACCGTTGACCTGTGCCCATTCTCAGAAGCAGTATCTAGTCGTAAATAGTTTTATTGTCCTTGCGAACATTGTTGGAAAGATATATAGCAAGGTTCTCTTCACTTGTCCTTTTTTCTCATCCTAATATCCTAATTACAGTTTTATCACAACCCTTCTCTCGAAGTGCTCGATGTTTCTTGTTCTGACAAGTTACAGATGTCTAAAGTGTACGGTTTTCGTCTTTGATGTATAAGAGAAAATGGATATATTTAAACATAACAAGCTTAATTGCAGTTTACAACCACCCGTTTTTAATATCTAGAATCAAATGTGAATGCCACTTTGGTTCATGTTTCGCTACAAACAAAACCTTCCTCAAAAGTCATGTTTACACGCAAGACTAAGACTGACCAGTCTTTCATGGACACAGCCTACCAAAAGGGACCCTGTTGTAACTTTCATTATAGATATAGTGCATCGTGTTTAGTCTTCAGCCTGAGGGATTAAATCAAGATAGAATTTAGTTTCAATAGCACATTGTCTGAGAGAAAGACAAACAAAATGAATTGTATTCGAAGAGAAACACAAAACACAGCGTCATACTCACGGACCAAGAGCCTCGGGTAATATTTTTGGATACGCCCAATTACAACAACAGGTGATAGACGCATCTGTTGATTTATGTACATTTTAAAACAGACACTGGACGCAAACACTGGCCCTAGGACAGTTTGATTGGGTCCAGCAGACCACCAGACCAGCAGACCACCAGACCCAGTCCGCCGGCAGCTATTTGTAACGAATTGGACCCAAGGGACCACGACGTTTTTCTCAGGTTGACATAAGACATATACTGGATACCAGCAATATTTGCGATATATACTATACAGTCGTGAGTTACATTAATGTTGGTTGGTTGGCTTGATGTTTAACGCCCCAATATCCCAGCCATATGGAGGCGGTCTGTAAATAATCGAATCTTGATCAGACAATCCAGTGATTAACTTCATAAGTATCCATCTACGCAATTGGGATACAATGGCAAGTGTCAACCAAGTGAGCAAGCCTGATTATCTGATCCCGTTAGTCGCCTCTTATGATGAGCAATGGTTGCTGGAGACCAATTCTAACCCTGTTCTTCACGGGTAGTTAAATTTAAAGAATATGATATGCTGATATCTGTGTACCCAGTCGGTCAAAGCTTTGATAATCATGCCGGTTTATCGGTTTGTTTGTTGTTTAACGCCACACTCAGCAATATTCCAGGTATATTCCGGCGGGCTGAAAATAATCGAGTCTGGACCAGACAATTTAGTGATCAACATCATAAGCATCGATCAACGCAATTGGGATACGATGGCATGTGTTAACTAAGTCAACGAGCCTCACCACCCGATCCCGTTAGTCGCCTCTTACGACAAACATTGGCTGATGAAGACCAATTCTAACCCGGATCTTCACTTGTAGTTACATTTAATGACTATGATATACTGATATTTGTGAGTACCCAAAGCTTTGATGCGTCATGTCGGTTTACGTGTTTATTGTTTAACGCCGCGCTCAGCCACATTCCAGCTGTATGGTGGCAGTCTGTAAATAATCACGCCTGGTGTGATCAGTCTGTAACGATAATATGCGCCTGCCGGACCAGTCAATCCAAACGTGATCAATCTACGCAGTTGGGATACGATGACATATCTTCCTACGAACCTGCCTAAAATCCCCTAGCGGCATCCGATCCCGCGCCATGCAAATGGACACCCTGAGTTCGAATCCCAAACGTCCAAATCATCATTCTGTCTAGAAGAAACGTTTGCGCATCGCGCAGGGGAAGAGGTTTAGTTTTCAAATCATGAATCGCTGATTGCACAACTAAATCTGATTGCCTCCAATCACGAGTCTTGAACGCTTGTAGGAAGATATGATATGAATCTGTATATATGGAATATATGGAAATCTATTTAGAAGAAGGTTTTTTTTGTCTCTTCAAATAAAGGCGCTACGGAAATGTAACTATTGT